AAAAAAAAGAGACTTTATTTTGAAAGTATTTTTCAAGGAAAATATTCTTTTTTAAAAATTATTTTTTGTTGTTTGGAATAGTTTAGAAGATTTTTCAAGAAAACATTATCGGTTGTTTGGTAAGGAAAAATCTTCAAAATTTCTCCAACATTACTTTATACAATTTAATCCTTATAATTTATAATTTATAAAATTAACTAGAAATAATAACACTTCAAAAATTCAAACCATTAAAACTTCAGAATATTCAAAGATAAGATTCATCAAAATAAATAAATAAATTTTTATTAAACATTACCAATTTACTACAAGTCTATCACATGGACCATTTCAAAGAAAAAGACTTAGGACTTGTGTGAAACTCTTATAAAGTGTGAGGACTTCATTAACGATTTAAATCCACGTTGCATTGTCTTCTTCAAAATACCAAATCACAAGTCATCACCTTTGAATTGCAGTCGTGATTAAGACTTTGCAGCGTTATTGGGTTGGGCAAATTCTTCAAAATCTGTCAAACCCAAATAGAAATCAAATGGCTTAGATGATGCTTGAAATTAAATTCAAGAGTTAGGATCAATTTATTTTAAAATAAATTCTAAATAAAATATTTATTTAGACCCCTATTAAACAACTATTATTCTAAATAAAAAACAATTATTATTCTTGGAGACTTGAACCGAATTTGGGAACAAAAACGAGTTGGTTACATGCTTTAACCCATCTTAAAAAAAATTGGTCAAACTTGGTAAACTTAATCAACTCAGCCGACCTTGTAAACCTTTTGATCCGACCAAACTAGTTTAAAATTTTTTAATTTTTTTTAAATTTTTTACTTTTTTTTAAACTCATTTCATCTTTTGAATTACATATGTTTAATTAAATTAAACTTTTTAAGTTGCCAGTAATATAATTGTATTTTGAAAATAAGTTAATAGTAGTATATGGCAATAAAAAAATACTTGATATAGCCATAAGATATAGGTAATTTTATAATTAAAATGCCACGTGAGATTTTGGACCTACAATTCTACATAGCATTAAATAAATATAATGTGATGTTAAACTAATAGATATATATTGTCATGCCCTAGAATCCAAATCCGGGGACGTGGCAGACGCCGTGCACTCATGAGAGGGTCCCACAAATGTACAAGGCTCGGAACTTATCATACCACAATCTGATACCATCAAAATCTGAAGATAAAGTTATAAAATTCGCTTTGATATCAAAATCTCCAAATAAAGTCTAGCTTACAAGATCACGATTTATATCTAAAATCTATGTTCAATTTACAAGATGTCTAGCCTTCTAACTTGTCACTCCCCTCGTTTTTCCCCGTCCTTGACTGCACTCCCTAAAATGATGGACAAGGAAAAACTGTGAGATAATTCAGTAAGTAAATATGGATAGCCCTTAATTAAACTCATAGCATGCCAACAAGTGTAATCACGAAAAAATGGTTACAGTGCGGGAACGAAATAGACGTCTCTTCTATAGGTCATGGCCAGTGTTATAAACCTCCCACTGGCAGGCTACACTATTTGCTAGTGTATAATCCCCACTAGCAGGGTCACTCGTACGAACCGGCTCTATCACTAACATGTCGATATGTGTTAGCGTTTAACCCCCACTAGTAGGGTCACTAATAACATTACCACATCAGAGACAAAACAAGTAGAAGTTAATAGAAAAATCATAATTCACCAATCGCTTTCAAATCATCAGGACAATCAATTAAATTTCAAGTAGGCATGCTCAATTTAATAAAAAGCATAAAAATTTCACTTCAAATCAGTCATGCTCATGTAAAACGGGTTTAGTCCCGCCACCATTTCAAAACAAGTCAAAACATACTTTTAAAATCGAAGGGCATTACCATAATTTACTTACCTCACTCGCATAAAACCGAAGATTCAATTTCAGTGCTAAACTGACAGAATGATCAGGAACCTAATCAAAATATCTTGGAATTAATTACCGTACCACGGATTCAAAAGTAAAATCACCATGACTACCCCTAATCACGATGCTATTCCTATCAATCTCCACATGACCAAACATCTCCAAATTTGTTCTTATATTACAAACTAATCATTTAATCCCCGTTAATTGTTGGCCATCAGTGCGCGAACAGTACTCATGAACAGTGCCGTGGACAGTAATCACACCATGAACAGTAACTGCACTTCCATAAATTGGCAAAACCATAACTAATCTCACGGGATTTCTCTCCAAAATCTCACAACAGTCAATTAACACTAATTTTCTACATGAATTAAGCTAAATCATGGTCTAATTACTGTCAAATTTCTCCCCTATTTCCAGCAAAAATTCGGACAGACATGGCAGCCATTAATTGATGAAATTTCGGGCTTGGAGGGGCTGTCAACATACCAGAATTTCCAGCAAAAACCGGAGCTGCAGTTAGGGGAAGGCCGGCGGCAATGCAGGGGAAGCTCACGGGTCTACCAAAAATTGGGAGAACCAAGAGGAATTAAAGTAAACCCAAGCCAAATCAAAGCTAAAGAGATGATTTCATGGTAGTTCCCTTACCAAAAAACCGAAAGATCCCCACCCTCACCAAGCTGAAACCGGCAGCAGGGGAGGAAGAACAGAGCAGATTCGGGATTTTCTACAGAGGGGAAAGATTTCAAGCTCCTAAATCTTGTTCTTGAACAAGAAAAGAAAGGCAAAAACCAAGCTTCTTACCGGTTTCCTCAAGAGGAAGAGGCGTCGGTGGCTGGGTTTCTCTTTGGGGCTACAGCGGGTGAGAAGAAGGAGAAGAAGAGCAGAAACGCGCAAGGCTGGGAAGAAAAAAAATCCTCCGATCCTTATCCTAATATCTTTAACTTTTAAGCCCCTTGAAATTTAAAAATTTTTCTATTAAGCCCCAAAACAATATTTTCTCACACAAAGGTCCTTAACTAAGTGCTAAAATATTACAAAATTTTAGGATATTACATTTATAATATTACAAATAAATTTTTAAATGAAAAGAATTAATTAAACTTATAATATCATATAATATGTAATTATAGCATTTTCAATAAAATATTTAAAAATATTAAAAAAAGTCAATTTTAAATTGATAGATAGAATTAGGCAATTAAACCACTTGAATTAGAAGAGAGGTTAAAAACAGGTGGTTAAATACCCTTTTTGGTCCCTCTACTATAGAAAAAAGCCCCTTTTTAGTCCCTGTACCGAAAAAATCCCCTTTTTAGTCCTTACTGTTCACAAATCCGGCCCCTTTTTAGTCCTTCCGTTAAATTTTAGCTTATGTGGCAGGTTAATTAACGGAAAATTTTATTTTTTTCTTTACTTTAATTACGTGGAAAATCCAGCCGGCAAAACTCGATGACATGGCCAAATTTTTTGTCTTTAATTACCAATTTACCCTCATCTTCTTCCTCCATCCTCTCCTTTCTTCAACCTTTTTTTTCTTTTTCTTACCTTCAGGCGAACCTAGGAGCCTGGGTTCATCGCGATGAACCCAGCTCGTGGGTTCGTCGCGATGAACCCAGCTCGTGGGTTCATCGCGAACCCATAAGCCTGGGTTCACAACAAACCCACGAACTAATGATTTTAATTTTGAATTGATTGTTGAGATCGGACTTGGGAGAGTA